AACGGCCCCTATTGATAACCAAACACACAATTAACAGCAGTAAAATTGAGGAACGTGGTGTCCCTGTCAAGATTCGTTTCTGCACTCTGGTAAAACCACAGCACAGATGAGTCATCAGAGGAGGACTCTGCATCTTGAAAACAGGAGGATGGCAACAAGGCTACAGCATACTCCCTGTGTGACTCCTTTTCCTGTTAGCCCACCAGCAAAACAGCCTGTAATGCTAAGAAATATAAAACACAGATGCACAAGGCAATCAAATTGCTTAAAATCGCTGTGTTGCACACCAGGGATGCTGAACAGACCACTTGCACGTGTCCGGGTTGTTGTCAGCAGGCAGAGGACAAGGCGTGAGTGGGTCAAATCCATCTGGTTAGAAGTATCGCAAAGTAAAACCACTTTATGCTTACGTAGGATCTTACCCTGAGGTTTGTAACGTGGACTTTTTAATACAAATAACGAACCTGTTGAGAGCTGCTACTGTTGGGTAACCAGAGTATTTCCTAAGCTGAGATGATTCACCACTTCCCCTCACGTCTCACACCACTTCCTCAGTCAAGATCGGTGGCATCCTCAGTGTGCACACACCATAACCTCGATTTTCTGGAACTTGAATTGACAGCCGTGGAAGTCAAGGGGAGGAGTGTGAGAGAAAGACATCAGTCTCATTTAGGGCCCATGTTACACTCTTGGTTTCATCTCACACCTGGAAGACCGCTCCTCCACCGAGCTATACAGAAAAAGGAATTTAATCTGTTTTTAACAACAAGAAATCAGGTGGTGTTGGAAGATTTTGATCACTTCAGGGAACATGCCCATGGTCTTACTGACAAGCAGAATTAGCACTCATCAGCTGTAAATGCACAGAGACTACCTCAGTGGCTGAAGTAATGGTAACTGGTAACTCAGTAATGGTAATACGGATTGCTAAGACTTAGTTTTAAATAATCATTGGCATTAGATGATCCCCTTAGTGGTGGATTTCTCCATGAGTATGACTTCCTCCTGTGAAGAGCCCAGCTAGGCAGAAAGCAAAGGTACAAAATGTTTGCACACCAAGAATAATGGTTAGGAGACACACTTTGATGGGACCTGAAGGTAAATCTACACAAAAGCCTCTGAAGGCAATAGCAATGACTCCAAAGTTGCGCTAGACAATGTAAATCTGAGTTCTTGATAAGGCGCAATAAGCTTGCTTTCCTTTAGAGATGTAGAATATAACTATACACTGCAAAAAACCCAAACTACTTAGGAAATTGGATCCGTATCACATGATGAACATCACTCACACACCAAGCCCAGAACCTGTCCTAGAGTAACCTGGTGCAGCCTACCAGCTTTCTGCACCCTGATGTGTTACACCGTAACTCCCCGCTGAATGGCAGGGTCAGGCTTTAAAAATGTCTTTCAATAGTTGTTGCCATTGTGTAAGTCATACAAAACCCAGGTTGCGGTGCCTCTGCTGTGGTTGTGCCCTCGGGCAGCCTGGCAGTCCGACAAACTGTTTAAAATGGATTGCAATGGTCCAGAGCGCATTTCTACTTCCTCCTCAATAAAAGCCTTCATCATCGTACAACCTCATCTTTTCACTTTGTCTAATTTTTTTAAATTTTTTTTTTGTAAGATGATCAGCTTTCAGTGGAAAAATGCTTCAGATCACTACTTATCTTAAGCTACTTTAAAATCCTGGGTACGAGGCTCCTAAAAAAACCTGACCATAACAACAATACATCACTGAAAGATTAGAATTTACTCATACTTCTGGACAAAAGCTTTTTTTTAGTCCAAGCACCATAAATATTTTTGAAAATTTTTGAATGTACAGCAACTGACACAAGAGAAAACACAAACGGGACACAAAAGCCATTTTGGAAGGTGCCCACACAAAGCAATGATGCCTACTCTATCTGGTTGTTAAAACCTAACTGGTATGGGCTGAGATTCAGCAAAAAGCTACACAACATAAAAATATCTCAAATCACACATTTAGTTACTATGTAATATTTTAAGTTTATATCCCATCATTAGACACCACTAACTGGATGCACCCGTCTAGCTCATCCCATATTAACCCTGTATCTACAGGATTAATCTGAAAAGATGCAGTACAGCCCAAATAATTCCTGGCATCTGTAGCCAAATACTTTGAATTCCACTCCAACGGGAGCAGATTTGTGAATATTACTGCCTGCACTGCTAACATGCTGAGCAAAGAGCCAGTAACCAAATTATCTTGCTGAAACTTGAGCTGTTCCAGTGAACTGAAAGCACAGCTAATTATGAACAGCAGTGGACTGGTATGTTTATTGATGTACAGGAATAGAAGTAATGATCAAGTGTCAGGTGGTACATTAACTGTAATGTGTTAAAATACAAGTTGACTACTCAAATCATCATTCAAAGCTTTTTTGAAGAATAATGCTCCCCACTCCCACATGCAAACAAAACAATCAGACCACATTCATATATTAATTTTTATTTTCCCATACAATATTCACAGGGTCTGCATTTTGACTTATTCAAACTAAACTTTTTTTTGCCCCCAAACTAAAACAAGAACTGACATTTCAGGACATGAAAAGAAGTTCTGTAAACATAAAACATCCAAGGAATAGCTGAAACTCAGGGTCTTTAGCAATTAAAAACACAGTCATATCCCCTTTAACGCAGGGCGTTTACTTGTGTATCACACCATTAACCAAACTATTCTTTTCATATATTAAAAAGATGCAGCTTTAACCAAAAGTCACAATGCATTTCTTCACCCACTGCGTGTTAGCATGTGTTTCATTATATCCTATTCAGTCACTTATTTTAAAAACTATGTACAGCTATGTTCAAACGTGTATTTGTGCCATGTTTTTAATAACACAAAAATAAAGGCATTTTTAAGCTATTGCTGCATATTATGCAGCAGGATACCAGAGGATTGGTTCGGATACCTAACTTCAATGCAAAAATCAAGTCCACTAAACCTCTGCAGTGGGAGTAATATTAAGCTGAACAGTCCCACTTCACACATTCAAACATAAAGAATAAAGAGACGTGTACGTAATGGCCAACCATTATCTGTTTTATCCCATCGTTTACCAATTTTGACAGCACACAGAGCAAGTCAGTGAAAAAAAACCCAACATGTTTCAATCCTTAAAACAAATGCTTTTGTTGTGATTAAAGCTACACAAGTGATATTCAAACTCCGGAAGATAATAGTGGACACTATCAAAACTAAATCCTATTTTCATCCGACACTTGCACAAAGTGTACCACTTGCTTCATTATTGTGTGCGATGCAGCACAAAGAGTAGTGAATATCAGTTGCCGAAACACAAGAATAAAGCATATAGGTACAATCAAGAACATTGTGTGCAGGCACAGATTTGCATCATAAGAAGAAAACATTAGGGGTTTTTTTGTTTCTGATCTGTGTGAGTCTAACTATTTCTGGGAAGCTTGCATCCTGAAATGGGACTGCAGTATTTAAAATTCAGTACAGGATAGAAAAATGTTATATATATTCCTGCATTTTACATACCTTAAGCTTTTCAATACCCCCATGACCTTTTGAATAATTTTGTAGCTGCTTGAGGTTTTTCTTCAGTTTCCAAAAGAGCAGTCGTTCAGTTCACAACAGAGGAGGTGCACTTTTGTTTATTTTTTTCAGGCATCACAAGATGTTAAAAATCAAGTCATCTTAGATCAATTCTTCAGACTCAGTGTCACCTGCACATGTAATTTCAATTTTTTGCTAGAAATAATACAGGTAATTTAAGGGTTTATCATTCTTTCTCTGCTTGCTGAGAACTCGTTTAAGCATCTTTTGAATTAGCCGCTAATATACAACAAATTTTTTCACTTTAGTTTAGTTTGTGTGCACTTACGAATAGGTCAGTCAACTTATTCCTCCAGAGCCATTTGAAGGAGTTTAGCCTTATTATGACCAGCTCAATTCAAGCTACTTGTAGGTATGTACATTTACTACCTTCCACACCCAAATAAAACAAGACTTTACAGTACATAAGCTACCAAAGACATGAGCAATGGAAACAATGTAACTACAACTCTACCAAAAAGATAACCTGAAATATTTAAAACATTTCCTGACCACTAGCAAAAAAGAGTGGCAATTAGATGCACAAGGCCATCAAATATCAGTGCACCACACACAGGAAAGTAAAATTTACAGCACTCGTGCAATGCAGTATCAATATCAAATTGGCCTCTTAATAGGAAAACAATTTAGTAAAAAGCTTTGTATGTGCCTAACACACAATATAACCTCGTCCAGTGCTGGTGCTGTGCTGCTTCACAAACCAAGCTACTTCTGGTCTTAAATCCAAAAAGCAGCAGCAGCATATATGCGTATAGAAACTGTACAGTTTCAGTGACAAAGTTACAAGATTCCTTATTTTATTGCATGTATTTTAAATAAACTTGGAGATTTGGAGTTCTGAATACAGAAAGTGGATTTCCTGAGTAGTCTCAGCTTACAATTTGTTCAGTGAAACAAACACTGTAAAAGAGGAAATGTATTTATTTTAATACAGAAGAATGTATGTTTAAGCAAACATACTCAAGTATAAAATTTAGCAAGTTTTGAAGGTGGAGACTTACCAGGCTGATGGAGAATTTGCACCATGATGTAGTGTCAAGCTTCCAACAATTTTACAAATAAGCAAAGGGTATCATTAATTATTTTTTTAACAGCAAATCAAAACAGTGCACTACAGTTAATCACATTTGCCTTTTTATAATTCAATACATTCATCCTGAAAATTAAAATTAAAGCAAATTTTTATATATATTGGCTCTCATATCAGACACTAGACTGTTGGGTTATTTTAAAGTGTTATGCTGCAGATGGCTAATCTTGCTGGTAAAAATCAAACTCAGTTTGGATTAACATCATTAGAAATGAAGAGAGGCTGGTCACTGCCAGATATTTAATACAGGAATAAAAAAAAAATTAAGTTCCAAAGTATTTTTAAAATATTTCAAATCATGTGTCCCTTTCATAACATTTTGGGTCTGTTCTGTGTTTTTTAAGGGATGAGGGGTGGACACATTTGAATGTTGCATATACTCAGATCCTTTGTACCTGCAATTAATTGGAGAACAGTAATTTTTACAGATGAGTAGCACACAATGACCTGAAGCACTACGACTACCAGTTATGATCCAACACGTGTTGTTGTGGTTCTTTTATCCGAGAAGAAGCTTTTGAGGAGAAATACCTGCCCGATACTAACGACAAGAAGAATGATTGCTTCCCCTATTGACCAGTAGGCCACCCTTGTGTTTAAATCCTCTGCTCTGCTGCGGCCCTGCGCTTCCCTCAAGCGGAAGTGAGTCTGATAATCGATGACAGACTTCAAAGCTTCATGAATTGAAACACACGCAGATTCCATCTAGAGAAGCAAACAAAAACACACCACTGAATTAAGAACGCTTCTAGTGCTTTTTCTGCAAAGTTTTGTGGTTTGATATTTAAAATTAGGATTCATGTAACTTTGCAAGCTAAGGAGTAACTCAGTCCATTGTCAGACTGAAATACTGTAAATGCAGTAAAATTTAACTTACATTGATCAAACTCCATACACAGGAATGTGACAAGACTATTAAACACAGAAGCGTGTAAAACTGTAGATCTAATAAAAGGCAACAGGCTCTGAGAACGACTAAACAATCTTAAATTCATGTATGTTTGGGTTCAAAATGAACATCAGAAACACTTTTGAAATGTCGGTGATCTCCCAGTTGTTAATTCCACACATATCAGGAAAACAAAGTTGCTTATAACATTAAGATACACATAGTATAGATTAAATGCTTCTGTGTTTCACAAGTATGACATTCTTCATTGCACAATTCTCACTGAAGTTATAAAACATCCTAAAAATTGACATTACTGAACTCAACATGTTCTTCTGGCAAGAGACCCTTCTCTTAGTCATGCACACAAAAAGTGGTTAGAGGGAGGACAATTATGTCACATTTCAGTGTTTCTGAATGCTCCATAATCATATAACAAATACTGAACAAATAGCCCAACTTGTAATTTTTCATTAAAAAAGTATTGCCAGTTTTCCAAGCCCTAGATCATTTTTCACATAAACTTCTTCCACTTTCAGTTTATAGTCTGTAAGTAAAAGCCATTACCCCTCACTGTGTTTTGCTCACCAAGAGATTCATCAATAGATCTTCAAAATACTTAATTTCTAGTCACGGTTTGTTTTTCTGTTTTATGGCTTAAAATTAGTATTTCCTGAAGATCAAACAACACAACCTATTACAAAAGGAAACGTTTAACACCCTGACAGGACCACTCTCAGTTACTTGTATCTGTGTCTAACCATCTTTTCAAGTTGATGTCTTTCAAGACAGGTGTCTGAACAAGTCTAAGATATTCTTCTCAACAAAATTCAGGAAAAGGTTTTCCAAACTAAGTTCTGCCGTTGGTCTCACTGATAAACTATAGAGCTCTCCTAGTCTGCACAAGAGATTTAAACACAAAGTCACTCTGGTTTTAGGGATTTACCTTTTACTATCCCTATGAAAGGCTGCCCAAATTTGGTCATGCTACAAGCCTCAAGAAAAGTGCAACAAGAACCTTCTTACCAAAGATGTGCCGTACTCTGAAAACTAATCCTCCCTTTCCCAAATACCTTATTTGCATTGCGTACGCTACAACCCAGTGATAAACTATTTTTTTATGTATCTTCTCCCGCAGGCTGCAAGGGGCTGCAGAGGTGCTAGACTCAGAAACCACATGTTCTGCATGTTCTCAAAATCTCTCTGCTGATGCCAAGATAGCAAAAGAAAAAACAGACGTAATGGGACATACAGACTGTACAGAATGAAGACTAAAGGAAAAGAGATGGAAAGATTCAGGATCAACAATTAGAATAAAAAATAGAGCAGAAGAGTGACAAGAAGAAAGAGGTAAGAGCTGTAGTTGAATTCACAGCAAGTCATCTACTCATTACAGATCTCAGCTACTGCAGACTTAAGTGAGGTAAATTCAAGTGAGATTGGCATTTGGGAAGCAGTATTTATGCTGTCAAGTCCAGACTAGCAAAATAGTGACCATGTCCAGAACTCTTTAACAGTTGTTTGAAGCGAGGTTTGGTGATGGTTATAATGTAAGAGCATTAGTAGGAATTCATGAAGCAAGTGTTCCAAGGGAAGTTTTGATGGATTTAGATTGCGAAGAGGTGGTACAAAACTGTAAAATCCCGAGAATACAATAATAATGCTCTGACACTTCGTAGTGTCTTATAAAGAACAAATATCCAGAAGCCAGCTAAATATGGCTAATTTTGTTAATTTGTTTATTTTGCTAGAATTTTCTTCTTCATTTTAAAAATGGCAGTTACATGAGAGGTCAGCTTAAGTCCTCTCCCAAAAAAGACTCCACCATTTTAAACATAAAAACAATTCTCAAAGTTTCTCCCAACTTTGGAAATTTTGAAAACCCTGATCCACCGATATTTACAGTTTGTGAAATCCATACTTCAAGAGGCAGAGAACCATGGCATTAAAAGGAAGTTCCCTTAACAACAACAAAAAACAAACAGAAGGAGATAGTGGCCTGGAGTTTAAGGTTTAAGTTACTACCCTATTTTTCTCTTAAGCACTTGGTGATTCCTTCTCAGCTCTGCTCTATGTTCTATAAATCCTATCTTCAGAAAGAAAGCTTATTTGTAGTAACTCAGATTATTTTAAAAGCTTCAATCCATTGATTTTCAAAAGTGAGATAGATATCTAATGCAGCTGAACTTGGGAAAACATTGCCTCCACCTAACAGCTGCTGTCAAACACAACAGCATTTTACCTGGGTAAGTGCAGTTACTCTGTTCTCACTAGGAAACAGTGGTGGATCTTCTCCAACCTGGAAATCAAAGTACACAGTTTTGTGTGTGAAAGTAGAGAACTCGTTGCTGAAGCAGAATTTGTATGTTCCGTTTCTAGATGCAGTAAATGTGAAGCTATCATATTGTTTCTTCATCTCTTTGTACAATACAGTGCCATCGGGATCTTCCAACCGACAGTCAACATCATAATGACCTCCAGTGATCACCTGAAAACAAAAAACAAGAAATTGTCTTTTTAGGAATACAGACATATATGCATTTCTTCTAAGAAGTATAATTTGTCAAGTGGCACTGCAATTTTTTTTGCTTTAACAAATGTTATAGAATATAATACATTAACTTTAAAATCTTTCAAAGCAAGTATGCAAAATTATTTTCTTATGGAAGACATTCAAAATACTTTAGGTTCAGGATATGTAATCTCAACTATGTTTTCAAACTGTTTACGAGAGCAATTTTAGTTTTACTTTGTTATAAATAACCGTACAACAGCAAAGGCTGCAGTAGATGAAAGCTGACGGGGCATCAAAGTGATTACTGTAACAAATCAACCATTTACTGTATTCACAGGTCCTCCACGGAATTGATTCAGCCAGAGAAGATTGCTAACATGCAGTAAGATGGCTCCTTTCTGTAGGGCCAAAATAGTGTAACTACCCTATTAGCTCCAGCTGCTTTAGGCTGCAGGAATGGCATTCCACCAGTAGAACAGGTATTTCAACCTGGCTGTCTTCACCTGCATTGTGAACAGAGCAATGTTCTGTGGGGTCTGCTGCCTCCCTCCTGCACAGCTAGGCACAGCGTTTCTTCCCAAAACCAGCACATCTAGATAATGCCTACAAGTGACTCAAAACTTCACGCGATTGTCTCAAAGTTCTTTTCAGGCTTCGATGGTTGCTGGTCTACAGCATACTGCTCTGCAGACTAGCTATCCCACCTCTAGAGAAAGACTAATTGGTAGCTTAGGTATTCATAACTTGGGTGTTCTGACGACTCTTAGGTTAGTAGTTTTACACCTAATCCTTGCTTCAAACTTACTGCTTTTAAGATACAGCATGCTGAAGGAAGAAGAGACTTATATCTAAAGGCATGTCCCTTTTATGTGTGCAGAAATCACTGAAATATTTTAGTATCTGAGTATCTGCACTTCAGCTCACATAGTACTATTTAAACTCACAACAGTTTATTTAGGTATCAAGTTATTAAAACGATAAGGTTAATGGTAGAACTGAAATAACAAGAGATCTCAGCAGTAGCTGCTCCATAAACAGGAAGTTTTAAAAATACTCAGTTGGCAAGCAGTATCTTCACAGTTTTTCCAAAAATGTGATGACAGGATACAAAGAGCAAAAAAATTTTGGTGTGTCTGGATCTCTGGATGTCTTTCTCTGGGTGTCTGCATCTACTTGGGATTTTCATACAGAAATGCTTACCTGGTTGGAAGGAAAAACAACAGTAAGGTTTTCTGTAATGAAATGATGTTTTTGAAGTATGATCTCAAATTTGACAGAGGTGTGCTTTTTACCAATTACATGAAAGTCACTCACATTCAGTTATATTACACACCCTGAAAAGGCTAGCTTACATATACATGGTAAAGATTTGCCAGAGCTTTAGAGTTCCCCTAGGATTCCCTCCCACAGAGCTTGCTTGAGCCTCTTCTCAGCTCTCGAGACATACTGCCAAAGGACATGCACGCAGCACTTCAGTCTACTGGCAGATGGTCAAACCCAGACTTCACTTTTAACAATGCCGCTCCTGTTCCGATCACCAACAAAGGTGACAACAGCAGGCTTATCTGTCCAGCAACGTCCAATGATATCCACTTCAAAACAGGGAGGAAAGTACTGCACAGAAAAGACTTTATGAAAGTAACAGGCAGGGACAAAAGACACCTGGGTAGGGAAAAAGCTGTATCTAAGAAAGAATTAGAACACATAGGACAGAGTAACAAGGACTGATATTTGGCAGCAACACACTCCAAAATACAAAAGGCGGGCCAGCAGTCAGAAAGAAAAAAACACAGGACTTCAACCAGAAAAGTTGGACCATGAAAGTACACAGCCTCTTCAAAAGCTCCCAAAGGTAACTGTGACTCCCATCGTCAAGGATGATTTCTCTCTTATGCTGCTGCTGTACTATCAGTGACTTCACCAGCTGAAGGAACAGATTGAAAGGTTCGAACTCTGCTGATACACGCAAAGGCACCAAAACTGTCAGGGCTGTTTGCTTGATACATCTCAAAGCTGCACAGCATGCTCTACCATGATGGCTGCGTGTTCGAACTGTTAGAAACTGGGAAAAGTAAGAAAAACTGTGCAGCCTCACTTAATACGTGCATGTTAACCACAGACTTCAAGAAGATGTCAGTTGCCTGCATGTTTTATTTTTTGTAAGACTGCTGTCTTGCTATGTGCCCGGGACACTTTGCTAGTACTGCATACCTCTTCCCTCACTTTCCTGCTGTTTGCTATGTGACCATTTGAACCGTACTCTGAAATGAGAAGCATTAGCTGCTTATGCTGTATCGTGCTCATCATGCAAATGCTCCACAAACCGCGAGGAAATCACTTTCGCGGCATCTTGTTGGGCAGGGGCGCTGGAGGTATTCCCCACGCTCTTCAGACGGGGCACTGCAGGCCAGAGATGAGGGTAAAAGACACGGCCAGCTTCCCGGGCCGGCGTGAGGTGTCTGACGGAGCTCTGAAGCGAAGGCAG